GCTGTTGAGCGATAATTGGTGTGCACGGTATAGTGGATGTGCTATATGTCAGCAGGATTTCTTGTACTGGTGCCAAAGGTATGAAAACACTGCCCGAGGATGGCACAATGGCGGACTCATAAATGATACCGGTGGCCGTGGGCTGTGGCTGTTGCTGATGATGATTGTAGATGTTTGAGCTGGTCAGCTCGATCGTGTTCACCTGATAGATTGGTTGTTCAGCCGGTTGGTAGACCGTCATCTCTTGGACGTCGCTCGCCGGCGCTTCGATTACGCTTTGAGGACCGATCGCCACACTCGGTGGTGGCAAGGGAGGTAGAGATCGGGAGAGCTCTAGGAGATCGTGCGCCGCCTCCGTTTCCGCCGCGGAGCGATCTTTAAACATGGATGACACTTGGCCGGACATGGACATGTCACAGGATGTGATAACCGATTGTATTCTATCGTGTGTTCTCGAGTGCTCCGGAGTATCTTGTAGATGATAGGACGTTGACGTGCTGGACGGTGGAGACGATTTTTCGGTGGATGGTGGATGGTGTAGCGTCGCGACAGACGTCGTAGCTTCGTCGCGTCTCTCGGGAGTCGTTCGCATGCTTGACGAAGGTAAAGACGTCACCGTCGTCGTTGTAGTTTCCTTGACGGAAGAGACGATTGTTTCTGTTGAAGATAGAGTCGTCAGAGAAGCCGTTGTGGTGCACGCGATCACGACGGTTTCCATTCGCATCGTCATTGAGTGGTCCATCGCGGGATTCATCATGATGACGGATGATGGTACCGCTGTTGCGACAGTTGTGTCTGCGTTGCTCGGTTGTTCCTTCGAGGGGTCTGCATCGGCCACGGCGGAAGTCGTAATGGCCGTTGTGTCTTTTGGTTGCGTGTTGGGACATTCTAAGATTATAAATATTAAGTTTTATTCGTATACATGATAAATCCAATCAGACCACGCCTCATGACAGAATGAAAAAGATGTATATATAAATTATATATTTAAATTTGCTATATATAACTCATGTTATTGCAAAATATCTTTATTTTTGCCTTATATATTATAGAAGCAACGTATAAATTTATTTCTTTGCTTTTATTTGATTTTTTTAAATCGAGATTTAACGGCGTCGTAGGCTTTTAAATAGCATATCAAAAAAGACTATCTATTTCTCGTTTCCAGCGTGAAGCAAAAAGTGCCAAACCTTGATGGTGGTAAGAGAAGTGCAGCGATAAACGAATGATAGGAGGGTGGGAGAAAGAGATGGACTGCACAGTACGGATTGTGAAGAGGGGTAGTGGGATTATGACGACAAATATGTTAGGAACGAGGTCAAAGGAGATGGGAGTAAAGAACCAAGAAGGTCTTCTAGGTTAAGCGGATATAAAATTTCACAATAACTCGGTTGTAAATGTGCACGTTTCGTTTAAAAGCAACCGACTTATCTTACGCCACCAGGTGGATCTGCTTTAACCTTTAGAGGGCCGGCATTTTTGCCTTGAAATTTTGAATTTTTTTAATGTAAAATTCATGTATACTATATATTAAATGTTTATGTCATGAGGAGTCGACGAGTTTTCCGTTGGCCACTATAGCCAGTCCGGTCAGCAACGGGATGACCAATGTGGAAAATTTTCATTTTTTGTTTTTAGTATTTCTAAGTGTTTTTGACGTCGCAGAACACGTTTCTGAAGCCAGATTATCGAAATTTTATGTAGAAATAGTGTTATTTATCTAGATAAGTCTATATAAATTGAATTGAATAACATAGACATTTACGTATTATACATATGAAACTTTCCTTTAGTGTAATCCAGGACTAATGACGTGAACGTAGAAAGTTATGTAGTTCTTTTTTTCGTTTTTTTTACATTTTATATTTTTTTATTTTTTTTTACATTTTTATTTATTTATTTTATTTTTTATTTATATTATTTTTGCTAATTATCATTTTTTTGGCCAGTCCGGCCCTCTAAAGGTTAATATTTCTACGTTGTTGTATTTGTATGTTTCACGAGCAAAATGAATTTTTGTTTGAACTGTGATCACGAAGAGTTTTGCTGATCGTGAAAAGATCGACAGGTATGAATATTATGTGAATGTCTCGCTTTTCGTCGTGCTGTATTATTTTCATTAGTATAGTATAAAAAAGTTATATCAATTTCAGATATATGTAAAATTTTTATTGCAATTTGCACGACTGCGAAAATACATTCTTATTACCTTCACGAAATATTTATTAAAGTATAAATTATTAAAAATTTTGTACAGCGTCTACATTTTGTATATATAAAATAGAAAATTATTAAATTAAGACTTTGTTCATTTTTCATTTTTCTTTCTATAAATAATTAAAAACGAGGAAAAACGATTAGAAAAATAAAGAGAGAAGAGAGAAAATTATATTTTTAAAATAATATATATTAATGTGTAAGGACTCGTGATATTAAAAAATTAGAAGAAAAATAAACAAATAAAAGTCAAGCGCAGTTAATGAGGCGTCAAATTAAATCTATTAAAAATACATAAAATTTCAAATGGGAAACAATGGGACAATAAAATACAATATTGTAGAATACGAAGATCATTGAAGATGATTCGAAAGATGAGCCAAAATGTTTGAAATTTTGTGTATTTTTAAGTACAATTAGACTTAATTTTGCGTCGCACTAACTGTGTTTGACTCTCATTTACACATTTTTCTTCTGATTATTGAATTTTCAATTTTATAATTTTTAATTTTGTAAATATGCATCCCAAAACTTTATTTTAGAATGTCCAATTTGGATATATCTTATTCCAAAATATATTATTCATATATTATTTTTAATAATACGAAAAACATCGATTTTTTTCAATAATTATTATATAAATACCATCAAACTTCCAAAAAGACTTGTTATTTTTTAAACGCAAACGATTTCGGTCAATTGTAAATTATTCGTTGCACGAACGTTTGAAACTCTCGCTTCTTCGTGCTGACGAAATGCTATAAACGTGCATCGTCATTACGATGATTCCGAATATCACCGCCTTTGTAACTGCATTTACTATCTCGACAAGTTTCGCATACCGTTTTCGCCGTTCACACGAGAAGCGGATACGCCGTACAAGTAGTAACGCCATGGAGAATTCCGACAATTAAGGTCGTTTTGTTACGACCAGGTAACGTATTGTTGGGAATTGCGCGTGTGCTATTATCATTTGATAATTCGATATAAACGCGTATCGGACTTGAGACGAAATGAATATCGCTAAAGTAACGCTAAAGCGCTGACACAATTACGAAAGAATAAAAAAGTATCTATTACGTTTTTATTTAATTACTTCAAAAGATATTACATATTTTGTTGCCTATTTTATAAACGATTTTATTTATATTATATAATTTGTATATATACATATCTGTATTATTTTCTTATATTGTTTATCAATATAATGTGATATTGAGCTCATTTTTGCAAATGTAATTGTATATGTGTTTTCCATTGCAAATGTGAATGCAAATGTCAGTATGTTAGTATGATGTCAATGATGTACACGTCTCATGTATTATGTGATATGTGTACGCTCAAGATTTTTTTATCTGTTTTGTTCGCTTATTACTATATTGTTATCTACTGGCTGGCATTGCAATAAAATAATAATAATAATAATTTCGGTTTTACTAATTGCAAGTTTAACCTTTCGATGTCATTCCCAGGGTGACATACCCGAAGTTATTTTGCTACGCTATAATTTTTTTTATTTATAAAAATACATTTGTTTGTTATTCGTTTGTATTCCATAATATCTGGCGTTTCGATTTAAAAAAAATTTATTACGATATGTTTATTCTTCACAATATCCAGTGTAATGTAAGTGAAAACGATGTAGAGACGCCGAAGGTTAAAGCTACTTTGGCGCTGTGTGTGTATGTGTGTGTGTGTGTGTGTGTGTGTGTGTGTGTGTGTGTGTGTGTGTGTGTGTGTGTGTGTGTGTGTGTGTGTTGTAATATTGATCGATCACCCGATTAATTTATAAAAATAACTATTATAACGATTTCTGGTAAAATATGCAAAGTTGGCATACCTTGTGCAACAGGGGGTGCAATACACCTCTGTACGGGCGAGATGGGTACGGTGGTTGGCGATGGCGTGCTCCTTCCGCGGCCCCAGCTCTCGAATCCTCTAGCAACGCTGGTTATGTACTTGTTGCACAAGGCCTTCTTTACCATATAGCACCGCGGCATCTTGGCTGATCGTTGCTCTCTTCCCACCGGGATTAATATCAAATATCGCTCTAAGATCACCAAACAACCGTATAGGATAAACAACCCTCTTGAGCCTTCCTCGGTCCTTCGGTGTGACGGCGTATTTTATTGCGAGTGCGTACCCGCGGCACGATCAAGAAGTACCGCGTATATTGATCGGGTATATCGCGCAAATCCCCTTTGCAAAAATCGCGGCTACTCGTCGGCAAACGATACACTACGATATATATCGTTCAATATACCGTTAACCGTTCTGCCGCTCGTTCCCGTTTTCACAAAAACGCCAAGTTTATTTTTCTTAATTCATTAACGCAGAGATTTTACCAGGCACACGATCTTTCAATCGATGCTTCAGCTGTTCGTCCCACTCTTTACGCTTTCTCTAAGATATCCTGAGACACGACATGGTCGTTTCGTATTGATCTATCGGCGGTAGACTATCCCAATTAAAGTTCCTTTTACTCAAAATTTCTTTCAGTAGCAAGGATGAGTGAAAACGATTTTCTTCTTAGGAAAGATGAAACGCTCAGCTCGAGATGGCTATCTTGGCGATATCGCTTGATTTAATTCTAGACGTCGTTGCACGATTATTCAATAGGACTCTGCGTATAAATGTATATATATATATATTTTTTTTTTGTATAACTATATACAGGGATGAGAGTGAGCGCGTACGGTCGCGGTGTCTATATGCGCGTGTATACATTCATATTAAAATATCTCTTAAGTGAAGCGAGGAGCTGGGAGGAGCTCTCGATCGTGGTGATCGAGTCCGAGCGGAGGAATAATACGCGGTATCAGTTCTTTGTGATTCCAAAGCGCGATCAGAGGGCGTGATTAAGTGCGAGATTATGGGAGGGTGGCGGAAAGCGTGTGCGGCTTGCCTTTGCTTTGTTCCTCGAGATTACCTTGTTTGTAGTATTGCTTTCGTTGTATATTCACGGGTGGAAGATTTACATGCTTTACGGCGTCGGTCTCATGCCCGCCGCGTATCTCGTCGTTCGCAAAACGTACGCATACGTCTACGTGCGCGTTTTACCCATCTAGCTTAACTTCTCTTCTCTCTTCTTCTCTCTTTCGCTCTCGCTCTCTTCTTTCTCTTCCTCCGCTTCACCGCCGTAGGTTCGTTATCCTGCAATGCCTCCGGCAGTACATGCGTCGCCGGGAATGCGCGAATCCACGTCGGGGCTTCCGTCGCTCTGGTTCCGCGAGATTCACTCGCGAACTCTTCATTCGCCCGGCTGTTCCAGATGGTATCTTGTCACGCCGATTCCCGATGACGTCGTTGCCCCGGGACGTCTCGATAATAACATCCTCATCGCAACACAATCTGGAACTTCTAACTAACGGACGTTCAACTTCTCTGCAAATTGACTGTGAACAATGTACAGGAGTTTTCCTGGATGAGGGAAAACCTCGTTTGATTATCGAAATCGAGAGATGTGATTGTTCGCTACTTTGTTGGCAACCCGTTCGTTTTCGTCAAATGCGAATGCCAACGCTCGAATCGACGCTCTGGTGTTCACAGTAAACGACTTCGAGAGCTTCGATACGAATAGTTGAGTTTCTATAAGGAGTTGGTCCTCTGAATTAGCCAGCGCGCGTCATTAGTTTCTTTTAGATTGCAGTAGGAAACGGATTGTACTCTGAAGATGAGAGTGGAGCTCTCTGGTCTTCTTCAATGTTGTCTTCTTAATTCACAAAGAGCGGAAGTCTCGTAAGATGAATCCTAATTTTTTCACGATCCAATATATCCCGATCAAACGTACACTGTATTAAGCTCGTTCAAAATTATATATTGGGCGGTAGAAATTCTTATCGCAATACAATCTGGGGATACAGTACCAATCGTCGTTAACATTTCCTCTTTTCTTTCTCGCTTGAAACCTAATTTGAATCTTCGTGTCGAAACGTTCTCTTCCGAGCTTCGAGTTTCAGTCTGATCGTATTTCCATCCTCACCTTCTTCGTCCGCGTTTCTGGATTTCTGGGAGTAGTCGGAGCTCGATCGTTGGAGCGCGGCGTTCCGATATGCGAGATTCTTGGATTCCTCGTAACCGGCACTTATTCCTTTTTCGAAAACAAGTTCTCCTTCGACTCCGGAGATGGGCGGGTGTGCCTTCGCAGGGACGAGCAACAAGTTGGACAACAGGTCCGCGATGTTGTGTATCCGTGTGCGCCGGTGTGTGCGAGCGCTACCGCCGCCGCCTTACGTGTGTGGTCGATAGCTCCCTCTAGCCCTCTCCGCGACCCCGGAAATCCCGCGCGCACCCCCTTGCAACCCTCGTTCTCGCGCTCCCGCTACCTATACACGGTACACACAGCCGCAGTCGAAAGCGAGTTGGCTGACGAGCGCGCCCGAAGCTACGGTACTTCCCCCTGGCTTCACCGCGGACACCGCTTGCGTCACCAATGATTCTCTCCTTTTTGACGTTCCCTTGAGCTGAAAGCTTTGACCAGGATCCCAACAGGCACCGACGTAACGTGTCTATGATGGTTCGTTCGGCGGGTGCGCGGACTACCGGTAGTCTCGCACAGCGGACGGATATACACGAGGCGTAACCACGACAACGAGCACCTCGATGGCCACGACGACGATGACAACGACGACGACGACGACGACGACAACGACGGCGGCGGCGGCGGCGGCGGTGACGTGGAACAGAAACTAACGATGAGGACTACGACGACAACGACGACGACGATGACGACGGCGACGAAGATGAGGACAACGGTGAAAACGACGACGAAGATGACGATGAGGACGACGACGGAATCCCCGGGCACCCGGCGACGGCGAACGCGAGTACCGACGAGCTCCGCGAAGATCGAAGACGAAGATGTACCACCTGTAGGCGCAGAAGCAACAATTGTCCGCCGTGTATCGCGGTGGAGGGTAGCCCGACTACATGGCTCGTACCGGGTGTGGCTGGGGTGCAACTGCCAATGCAGCGTCGCCGACGAGTGTCGCCCCGCGTCCCGGGCGCCTGCGTCCTCGCCGCCGCGCTTGTGTGCAGCTTTCTCTCCCTCTCCCTTCCTGCCGCGTAACTCGCGTTTCCAACCCCCTTCTCGTCGCCTCTCTTCGTCGGCTGCGGCGCGTTCTCCCGCTCCTCTCGTTCTCGCTCCCCTGTTCTTACGCGCCACCCTCTCCTCTTCCTTAATCGAGGGGATGGCGAAGGTTGCCAAGGGGGAAGACCGGCAAAGGGACGACGGTCGGGAAGGGGGGGTGTGGATCGGCGGGGAAACCCCTCCCGACGCCGATTTGGCTCTCGCCATCGATTTTGTACGAGTTCGGGGCCAGACCAACACCTGTTACCGCGGTGGGTGGCTAAAGAGGAAGGGTGGAAGAGCGAGTGACGGAG